TAATAACTAATAACTTACTTGTCCATCACTGTTATGCAGAAAAAAAAACCCAAATTTTAGGCAATAGGGTTAAGCTCACAAAGCCAAGGTCTCGTGCACTTTTGAGCACAGGAAGAATTCATTCACAGGTTTGGGCTAGAGAAAAGCCAGACACTCCAGCAAGAAATTCATCACTCGGTAGAACTCTCTTTTCGCTTAGTGGCTTACTGTGTAATAGTTATGGAAATAAACTTAGAAGAATATACTGTATGTTAAGATAGTAGAATTGATGCTGCCTGCAGGCTATTGTAGTCATTCTTGCTGACATTATCCTGTTTCTATCAGATTGGCTCTGTAGCTCCCAGTATTTTGTAGTAGAGTTTGCCTTACAGGAGGAGCAGGAGAAGCTGGAAAATAGTAAGCTGTGATGTCATCAGTGAGACATCACCCCAAGCAGTGTCTGCTTGTGTTGGGGATTTTGGGGGGTTTATGTCACTGCATGTAATGAAAAGTATGGTACTTATTGGTCTCAGGTGGCTGCAGCAGAACTTAGGGGGTCCCTCCCTCTCCTGTTCATTGAGTTTGGTTCCTCCCCTCACAAATTACTGCAGACCATTTGTGTGTGCCTGCACAGCCCGGCTTTCAGGCCTTAGGTGTTGCCCACATTGCAGTTGAGAGGTTCAACTGCAGCACACAGAAGCCTACCAGAGAAGCTTTAATCTAATTAGCTCGAATAATAACATTAGCGAAGATGTGATAGAATGAGCTTCAGTAATAAATGCACACTGATGTGAAAGCCTGCTAGGAATCCTCAGGACATCTCTGGGTGGCCTGAAACAACAATATACAAATTTTTAGAACTGTTCCCTAAGGCTATTGAAGCAACAGCTTGGCAGTAACTTCAAAGCCCCAAATCACCCCACAGTCTTGCCTGTAAAACAATGCTAAAATATTATATAAATAAACTGCTTGTCAAGATCAATTTTTAGTTGTAAAAAGCTTTAATTTCTTCCCTGTTGTTTACCAGTCTTTAAAGATCTGTGCACATGGCTATCTCAATTACAGCCAAATTCTCTGTGTTCACTGGCTCCATTATAAAAGTCAAATCTGTCAAAGCAGGCTTCTCCAACCTGCCCATCTTCCTGCTGCTGTCTACAGCATTTTGTTACTGGTAGCCTGAGTACCACTCTTCACTTTTTTTTGAGTGGTAGAAGAGTAACAGAAGTTGATGAAATTGGCTCTGAGTCCCGAATTACTGAGTATTCTTTTGTGGAGAAGACAGCTGACTGCCTTAATAAGAAAAATAAGAAAATAATCTCCTAAGTCCCACAGTTCGTGTCACTAAGCCACAGATGTGGAACCAGGGCTTGGATAGGATTCATTTGAAATGTTTTTATATGCTTTACAAAAATCAGAAAAGGCAATTGGAAGATAAAATCTGCGTACTGCACCAAAGGCTGTAGATCTTTAAAGCTTTTAGACCAAGAGTCGTGAGAGGGAAATGTAAGTTAGTAAGTAAATGTAAGTTAGGCAAATAGAATTGGAAAAAGATTTCTTTTCTTTTTTTTTTTTTTCAAAATAAGAAAACAAAATTCTTTTTGGGAAAAAGAGATGGTGGAAAAGCATTTATTTGCTTTGTTCATCTTTACTGTACTGCTTGTTATATTATTTTTGAATGAGCATTGCTAAACAGGAAAATTATCCATCACACCTGCAGCAGCAGCAGCAGATCTCATTGTCTCTCCATCTGCAGTCCTCAACATGGATCACTTCAACAGATCTGGTATATTTGCTCAATGTATCTGTTCAGTCAGCTCTGTATGAAATATCAGGGGATTGCAGAGGGGACAATGTACACAGGCTCATCCTCCACTAATCAGGCTTGTATGGAGTATCAGGCAGATATTCACTGGCAAGGCTTCAAGAGTATTGGGATAAGAGCTTAATTCTTGCTCCTGCATGAACCTCTGGAGAAGCAAACCCAGTTTCTTGGGCTTGGAGACATAGTCCTGTATGTCATGATTTGCCTGATCCCTTCATTTAGAATAATATAGAAGCACTTTGTGTTTAAATGTAGGATGAGAATTAAGAAGTCTCTCTCTGAAACAGGCTTTCTGCATGACCTTGAACACCTGATGTCTCCTTGCTTGTTTTCTCATCTGTGCAACAGGGAAAATGTTTATTGGCCACACAGGGGGCCATGAAGCTAAATTAATTATTGTTATAAAGTACTTTGTTAAGTAAAAGGTTTCCTGCAAGTATGATCTCTAGCTACTTAGTGTCTATGTTTCCTTCACTTTTTATTCATACCCTATCAATTTTACTTCGCCAATCATCTCGTCTGGGTATAAAAGACAAAATCAGGAAAAACTAATGACTGCATTACTTAGATTGAATTTGTTTTGGTCTAGATTTCTTTATTTTAAGTATACTTCCACACAACTAACACCTGTATGGATTTACATGAACCATGTTTCTCTTCTACAGTGACTTTTTATTATGATCTTTTCTCCTTTATTTACTGCCTAGGGTATCCATGAGCTCACACAAAGGGACAAGAGTTTGCACTCCTATCCTTAAATTCTCTTTCATTATCTGTTTGATCTGTTTTAATGCCATTCCTCTTTTTTACTTCTCCTCTATTTGGCAGTTGTTTTTTTTCCCTTCAACCTTCAAGAATCACAAATCGACCAACAAAGAATCATTTGTACACACTGTCATTCCTATGTTCTATGTTTCTTTTGTTTTTTTTTTCAATGGGACAGGAGAGGCAGTGTGCTGTGCTGGATATCAGAAGAGTGTACCTTGGGTGCTCTGAAACCATTTGACTTCACCTTGTGTCATTTCTAAAATGTATTTTCTTTCTCTTAAATATGAGACAAGACAGAAATTTGGCTAGAGTTTGCCTTGTTTCTGAAGCACTTTGTAGCTAAATGCTTCCAGAACATCTGATGCTACTGTTACCGTGTACTGCAGGCTGCTGAGAGTGTGAGCTATGAAGGAGGTTATCTAACACCCCAATACAGGCTTCTTTGAGACTTTAGATAAGGATATGATTAAAATGCATGTATCCAATTTGTAGAAAGTGGCTGCACTGCAAAAAATGAAATTATAGATTGCATTGTAGGTAAATTCTATGGTGTAATCACTTCAGATGGGTTTGAAGTACAGTTTCCTATACTTGATTCTATACTATTTTTCTGCTCATTACTATTTCTTAGACAAATTGGAATTAAAGTTTCTATGCCTCATTGCTTACCCTAGTCATTTCCTGAAGTTTCAAAAAATGTCATTGAGCATGTCTTTGTTAAAAATAATAATAAGCTGTTAGGCTAGCTTATTCAATATGCTCAAATCAAGATACTCGCAATCATTGAATGAATGGGTTTTGTAAGGATGCAGCTTGTTCATTGGAATTTGTTGAGCTCTACAGAATAAGCCAAGTTTGAAGAAAACGTATATATTTAATGACTTTGAAGTTATAGAAACTGAAAGGTTTTTTGATGAATGTGGAGCATGATTTTCTCTGCTCTGTTTGCAACTGAGATCATACGATTGACTGAAAATGTTAAAGTGACATTTTCCAAAGCTTAGTTTCAAATTCTGCTTCACAATGAGGTGGTGGCAAGAAGTTAAGAAATTTTTAACACTGGGTTTTACTCAAAATGGCCAAGCTTACTATGTCTCTATTTCTGTAAACATGCTACCTTGCATGGACTCAAATTTCCTGGATATTGTATTGCATTTTAGAAAACTCTTCGCCAGATTCATATGTCCATATGTCATCAAGTTCTTAGTCCTTTTGGACAACATAACAGCAGTGACTGGGAAGTGTTTATATCCTTGCCTAATGTTTCCTGCAGCAGACAAGTGCTTTGAAAAGTAGCAAATTTTGTCCACCAAGAAAAGTGCATAGGTTGAAATAGAAAATAAGTGGGGATGTTCAGAGAACCAGCTGAGCTTCTAGGTACAGTGAAACATTTTTCCTGTTGTCTCTGAGCAGCGTGCCTCCCAGCTTTTGGATCACATGTGTCAGGGGCTAGTGCTCTCCATCTTAGAGACCACAGTTGTACAAGTGCTGTGCTCCATGAATAATTCTGTGCCTTGCTTATGTAAATGGAAAATATGATGACAATATGTAATGCTGCATTTTAATATAGAAATGCAGGATGCCAATTTCAGTGAGACATCCCCTAGGACTTCAGTGTAACCTAATGATGATACACTGGGATGACTTCTGCTGCCAAGGAGTTCGGTGGTATTCAACCAGTTAAAGGGATATGAAACTATGTGCTTGCAGTCTTCAGATACAAGTCTTTAAGGAAATATTAATGCTTTAACATTCTTCTTAGATATTTATGATATTTTGCTGAATTGTTATAGGCCCTCACTTTTTAATGCATTTGTAGAACTGGATATTTAACAAGTGAAAGAGTATGGTATATGCAAAGTAATATTTAACCCTCCTAATTGCTCTAGATTATTCCTCTGTTTAGAAAATCTTTATTCATTTATTTATTTGCACAGTGGATTGTCCCTTCCCTCTTCTGAGCTCAACTCTATTTCATTCACTGTATTTCATTGGGAAAATTCTCAGGCTAAACTGTAGACAGTTGTCTGATTGTCTTAATACATCATACTTACATTTTTAATAAGTTTTGAATACAAATACACAGATAAGTGAATAAATATTTGTATTTGGAATTTGTTTTTTTTTTCATTAGACAAGGCATTGTTCTTCATATGACTGCATAAGTAACTACACTTTCTAAGGATTTACCAATCAGTCAACAGATTTTGAAAAGTGGGTCCTCTTAAATATTAAATGTTAAGCTGTTCTTTTCGTACAGTTCTTTAAGTACAGTGCTTATTGTGGCAATGCTTCATTTTTGCTTTTCCGGGTTTAGGGATTTCAGTCAATATTGTATACTCAAAAAGCTTCAGAAAATAATGACTGTTTAAATAGAACTATTCAGCTACAAGGCAGGAACATCAAAATATCACATTTTATCTCTCAACAGATTTTATCTGATTAGTGGTGGTGTTCCTTTCATTATATGTGGGATTACAGCAGCAACCAATATCAATAATTATGGGATTGAAGGCAGCGCACCATAGTAAGTACAAGATATTATCATAAAACCTTTAAAGAAAACATTTTTTTATTCTTATATTCTTATGCTGATAAATGTGACTGACATTATAAAGTATACAGACATGCCACTTGGGATTGTATTTAATATGAAATTTTATGGGTTAATAGCTATGAAAGCAATAACTTAGTCTGGGGCTTGCTGCTTCACTTCCACCAATTTGACTCCTTTGTGGTCAATAGAATCACTTCTCATTTATAGAATCGCTTATCATTTACGCCTCAATAAGTGTGAGGATATTAAAAATTGACTAATGGATGGCATATTTAATGGGGCCATTAATTAACTTAATGAATTAAAAGTATTTAATTATCTACCTTGAATTGATATTTTCCAGGTAAGTTGTTTGAAGTAAGTTTTAAATTGTTACTTCAAAAAAGGACATGTAAAAATTCCCTTTTTCTTCTCTTGAAAACCAATACTTTTTTATTTGTGTTGTATGGAAATTTTCCAGTCACAATGTCTTTCAATGGCGAGACAGCAATCTCATCTACCAGTATATTAGTGTTCAGTATACCTCCACAAGCTGTTCAGGTGTCATGTTGTTATTAATTCTTGGCATGAAACATGATATATCAATGAACTGCAGTAAGCTTCTCCATAAAATCATGGCAGAAAGTGAATCAGACTGTAAAGATAAATGCATTCTATGTAAATGATCAACAAGACAGTGACTGATGCACTGATGGCTATATTAGTAGACTGCCAGCACCTTGTTGCTAGTACTCTGGTGGATGTTACTCTTAGTTACTGCTTACAATATCTACTGTAATGCATTTGTAACTAGTTATGTTCTGGATGAGAAAAATGGAAAATGAAACAGAATGCCTTGTAACTGAGCATTTGGCTTCTTAGAAGTATTTTATTGGTAATCAAAGTTTAAATTCTGGTAATTAATTAGTACGCATAGTGGCTGTTTCCTCTGCCTAGGACCCAACTCACATTCATATATTTACTTACTAAAACTTATCAAGTTATCCAATCACTTATAATCAACAGTATATTAAAGGACTCTGATGATTTGGCGCAGTTACAGAGGTTATACTTCTCTAATCATACTAACCATAGCCAATCAATACCAGGTAACACAGTCTACTGAAAACAAGGTACAAGTGAAGGATGCTTTTAAAACTGGGTAAAAAAAAACATCTAATTCAACAACAGACTGTTAGTTTTATGCCTTTCTCATTTTTAATAGTATTAGCACAGAAAAAATGTAGATGTGCAAACTCGAACTTTTTTCTTTTAATGTAATTGATTTTTGAAGTGATCCACAATGAGATTTCACTTGAAGTAAGAACACCCCAAGAGACTGTTCCACTGGGGAGCATTCTGTTTTCCACTTTGCATCAAATATGCAGCTTTCAAATGTACTTCAAGTATTCACATAGCTTTGTGCTCTGTCCTTATTGAATTAAATATAGGTGATAACTTACCTATCTTTTCAAAGATGTATTTCTGGAAACTTTTCATATGCATGTCTGTCTGCAAAATATATGCTCTCTGAAGTGTTTCTAAGTTCATTAATAAATGGATGTATGTTTTTGTTTAACATTTAGATTTAAATGTATACATATATATAAGCATTTACACTGCAGTTTCTCAGTGAATATCCATTGGGACTGCATCTTCTTTAGCTGAGAGGTTCTCAGCCTGGGGGATAAATTCATTCTGCCATTTTTAGAATAATAGTAGATGATTCCTGGCTTGACAGGAATGTGATATCAGAAGGTTCCTCACTATGTTGGAGGGACTGCAACCAATCACTGATGCCTAAATGAGTATGAAGTGTCTCACAGTACCAGTTTTAGAGCTGGAATGGATCATGACAGATCACCTCATCTGTCCTTCTGACCCACTGGAAAATTAACTGTATTCAAACCATTCCAGACAGTTATTTATCTGCAGTATTTTAAACACTCCAGTAAGGTATATACCACACTTTATTTCAACAGCTTATTATCCTAATTATCCTAGCTAGAAAACTTTTTGAAAATCTAATTTAATTTTTTTTTTTTCCTTTAGTTTAAACTCATTGCTTCTTCTTGTAGTCCAGCAGTTCGGGAAAGCAACTTCTCTTTCTATCAATATATGCACTATTTAGTATATAAAAACCTAAAAACAGTCTGTAACAATGGCTAAAAGCAGATCAGAGAGAAGAGTAAAAGTTAGGCAAATATTTAATCTTGCCTCACCTCAAACCCAAATTCTCTGAGGGTCCATCTAGGATTTTAACAGCCACAAGTGTTTTCTTCTATAACTTTTATATTACTAGATCTCTCACCATCAGGAAAGTCCTGTTAGACTGCTGCTAAATTATACAACTGACTGAGTCTTATTCAGCTCATACTGGCCTGTGAACTACTTTAAACTACTCTGAAACAGTTATGGTTGTATTATTTAAACCCTAGCAAATAATAATCTATGCTATGATAATATTATGCTAGCAGTGCATCACAAAGAGACCTTATTTTTTTCTAATAGCATTCAAGTTGATATAAATTAACTTCCAGGAATTTTACAAACTGTTGTGAACCCAGAAATGCCATGTATCTCCTGGGCCTGCTCACTGTGGAGACTGCAACTAGAACGTTTTTCAATCTCCTCTTGTTACTCCAGCTGTTTTCTACTTTGGCAACAAGAAAATTCCTTAAGAACAATCTTTAAGCTTAAGAATTTACATCAATGTTAACTGGTACAAACCACTGAAATCTGAAAATTTCTTTTGCTTGCACAGATTGTATAAAATATGCTTCGTTTGCTTTTTAATCAAAGTATTAGAGCTGACATTTTTAATAGGGGAAAAAGTGTTGACATAAATGTCTCAAACTTCAGTAGAATTCTAGATTCTAAACTGATCTATATTTCTTGGAAATTTTCATGTTTAATTTGCTCTGAATTATAGTAGATGTTTTATTCTATTGAAAAATAGGAAAGTTGTCATGGTTTAATTGATATTAAAGACACACTTTAGCTCCAAAGAATCCTATCCAAACTTATATGGCCTGACAGTAACTTAGATGTCAGCAGGAAAGTTCAGTTTCACTTCCATATGTTGGTATGTTGTCCAGCACGTCTGACTTGACTACAATATGTTCTTGACTCTCTCTCTTTTTGTTGTTTCCAGTTGTTGGATGGCATGGGAGCCTAGTCTTGGTGCTTTTTATGGGCCAGTGGCATTCATTGTGCTAGTTACCTGTATTTATTTTCTCTGCACCTACATTCAACTGAAGCGCCACCCTGAACGCAAATACGAGTTAAAGGAAAGGACAGAAGATCCGCAGAGAATGCCAAGTACTGAAGTGGGCCATGGTCACATTACAGACGCTGCGTCTGTTCCCCAGGCAGCCTGCTCCATGATTTCTTCTTCTTTACTGGAAAATGAGCATTCATTTAAGGCTCAGCTTCGAGCTGCAGCATTCACTTTGTTCCTGTTTACTGCCACTTGGACCTTTGGAGCGCTTGCAGTATCTCAAGGTCATTTCTTGGATATGATATTTAGCTGTCTTTATGGAGCCTTCTGTGTGACCTTGGGGCTTTTCATCCTTATCCATCACTGTGCAAAGCGAGATGATGTGTGGCATTGCTGGTGGTCCTGTTGTCCATCTAGGAGAAACACTTATTCTGTCCAAGTTAATGTGCGCCCAAAGGTCAACGTCAATGGGGACACTCAAGTTCATGCACCTTGTCTTCAGGAATCACCATGTCCCAACAAATCAGCTGTGTTTAATCATCCAGCTGCTAGCCACTGCAAACTCACTAACCTCCAAGCAGCTCAAAATCACGTTAACTGCCTTTCTCCCGTGACACCGTGTTGTGCAAAAATGCACTGTGACCAGCTACTTGATGATGAAGCTCATATTCATGTCCACAACGAGGGAAGCTTCAGACCCAATATGCACATTCATAGATGTCTGAAAAGCAGAACTAAGCCACGTTATTTCAGTCGGCATAGATCAGCAGGTGAAAGAGAATACGCCTACCATATTCCTTCGAGTATTGATGGCAGCATCCACAGCTCACATACAGACAGCCCCCACAGTACACATGATAGCCAGTCGGGTCACAGACGGGCCTGCTGCTCAAAAAGCGATCCATATCCTACTGTCAACCAGCCCGAAAGTAGCGACGCAAGTACTGTCATATATAGTTGTACTAAAATGCCAGAAAGTGACACTGTGCACCATCCAGCTCATTTTGAAATGCATCCACGGACACAGTCATTGCCGTTTAATACAACAAATCATAATGGAATTCTCAAGGGAAACGTGCACGAAGCCATGATATACAGCTCAGATAGTACAGGAAATATCAAAACAGGCCCTTGGAAAAATGAAACTACTGTGTAGTTCATGGGCCATCATAATGTCTTTTCTCCACCTAAACCATCATTAACTTTGCTTTTATTCAAACCTAAATAAGATGACATAGTCATGTAGTTCATCAGCAAATTGTACAGCCTTTCCACCTTTATTCCCGTTTTCGTAATGAGAGTATAAAAAAGAGATTGTGAGTTTTAGAAGTGAAGTTATTTTTAAAAGAAAGTTATAAAAATATTCTGAAAGATAATTAGAAGATAAAGTGTAGACAACTGAATAAGAGAGGCAATATCCTTTTGTTGCACAGAACATTTATTTAGAAATACATTGTTGCCATTCATTATTCTCACTTTTGTTCTGTAGTAATTTCAGACAACTTTTATAAGCATATCAGCATCTTAAATTTTACTTATTTATTTTTGTAGCAAAATATTATTACTGTGCCATGGATTTTAATCAGAAGTGACTATGGTAGAAATGATAAACAGGATTTTATAAAATTACAGCTTTTTAGAAGTACAAAAGTGATACTGCCTCTAACGATCTTCTGTAGCATATGGCCTGTAAAGTCGTGTAATGTACAGTCTCTGTTATGTCCTTTTTCTTGTTGGAGAGAAGTGCTAGGTAATGTCTCTGTTACATCTATGGTGCTGTATTGGTTGTATTTTGCATGACATATGTCAGGATATACCATTTACTGTTTTATAGTGTTACATGTGTTTAAAAAAAGAACAAAAAAAAAAAAGTGTTGTACAAGGCTGTGAAAAACCCTATTGATATTAATCTAGAGCATTATAAATCTACAGGAAAAAAAAAAACACTCTGCACTAGTTTAAGTGGCACAATCCTTCGTATAAGGTTATATGATAGCTTTGATAAGGGTCCACTCTAATGTCTTTACAGAGCATGCACTACTCATAGTATGTGACACTGTGCGGTGTAATAGCAATCGTCTCAACAAGTTTTACACTCCTTTGTAAAGTATGCCTTTTGAACAAATCTGTAAGCTGTTCCACAATAACCTTTCCACATCTGTTAAGGTAGAGCAGTTTTATCATTAACTCTTTGAGGACTACAGTTATTTTCTTAAAAATAGCTTATTCTAATTCAGAGACTGTAAATATGATGTTGTCTATTTAGTTACATGCTCAATGTAGTCCAGAGTTGCCAGGAAAGAGAAGGTTCAATCATATGCCAAAACCACACCTTTTTAATTTCACCTCTTCCTTTCTAAAAATCTGTCTCCTCTCCTAGCAAACTTCAGATTGTCTTCATTCTTTAATGCAAATTTGACCTTCAGTGAACTTCTTTATGTTCATGATTTCTGCTTAATTGTAGGGCATCCCAGGGTCACTAACATTCTCTATTAACAACGCTTAACAAGGCTTCCTATGACAAGAAATTTTTTTCATGTTTCCATGAACATCTGGACACAAAGCATCAACTCACAGTACAGAACTACAACATAATGATCCTTATATGAAATAAAATGGCTTTTTTCAGATAGGAATGGTGCAGAATAATAATGGACCCCACAAAGTGAATAGGAGCATAGAGCTGGGAGAGAAATGTCTACAGTGGAAAGTGAGCAGCGCACCCATAAATAAGAGAAAAAGCACAATTCTGCATGGCCACAAGAGAAAGTTTTCTCTCATGTCTCAGCACAGGCTTACATAATTGTTACATTGCTGCAGAGAGGAAATAGAAAAAATCTCTAGAAAGGTCATCAGTCTGTGATTCTCTGTGCATATTTTGCAGAAATCTTCATGTACTTCCACCTATTCGTTGGTTGTTTTTTTGTGGGTTTTTTTGTTTGTTTGTTTAAATTTTGAGGAGTTTATTAGTCTCTACCTTTTTTTTTTTTAGTATGTAGGGATGCATTTCCTAATAGTGTACATAAAGATGACAATTATAATTGTTAGAATGTTCTAAAAACATGTAAGTCAGATGAATGTGTTCTGCAGTGTTGCAGGTGGGAATTAGTACTCAAAGGGTTAATGCTCAGTATCTGAGTGCAAGAAATCTTGTTTTTCTGTATTTTTGTAAATTTGAAATATATATTGTAAACTCCAGCAGTGCAATGTATCCATCTCAGATTGTGTATTTTTAAAAGGTGAGCAAGAAGAATGCACTAGGTGGTTGTCTAGTTTTAAGCCAATAGACAATAGTTTCATGACTGCTTCTTTAGCTAATACAAAACAAAACAACAAAAAAAAAGAAATGCCTGAGCTTTATTATGTATATGCTGTATATGCTTGGACTGTCTCTAAACTAAAATACAGTATTTTTCTTTGTTTACATAATGAAATATTTTCTGTTCAGTAATTATTTTCTTTTCATCTTACTTTTACTCATTCCACATAGACAGTGAGCCCTAAGCAAGCATAGACATAATGTGAAATACCACTTCTCTGTGTCTCAGCACTATGTATATGTATATTCTGTACTAGCAAAATCCTAGGGGGGCTGTAGACCATTATGCAAAATGTTACACACGCGCACACACACACAGAGCCAAGTGACATACTCACTCTGCAAGAACCCACTCAGTGAGCTCCTCTATTCAGCTCGTGTTTTAATCACCTCTGTTATTTCATCTGAGAGGCTTGTTCAGTCTTCATAATGGCTTACAAAAGAGTAAATAGGTGCTGCTTTCCACAGAATATCTTGTGTGATAAAACTCTCTGGAATTCAAACGTAAAATATTAAAACACCTTTCTTATGTGTTAAAAAATTAATTTAGTGACTATTTCTGGGCTAATTTGGAAGAAATGTGTTATGCAATAATCTGTTTGCATATTATTTTTTCAGAAAATATACAGTATAACTACAGAGTAGGAGAACATGATATTAAATAAATATAAAAATGTTTTGTAACATCAAATTTGACCAAAATGCTTTTTGTGCTTTTGACTTTTCTTTTCCTTACGATAAAGGAGATAATTTCAATGCTTTGGGAGTCTGGCTTTGTTTTATTGTGCGTTTCTGGTCCATTGCAGTCAGTGAGCCATCACTACTTTACCTGATTTTCTTTCCTATAAAAATAAAGTCAATGAAATAACAGGAATTTAAGAGATATATTGTCCTAGTAAATTCCTTCTGGACATAAACATTTAATGTGCTTCAATGTCAGCACTAGTTTTGGTGATTCATTTATGACATAAAAATGACTGAACAGACTTTTACCATTCACTTTCTGTCTGAGATTAAACAGGAGAAATTTCATCCACCAAAAGATAATTTTTGAAGAACAATGCAATCAACAGAAATCAGAAGTTGTTATTACAGTACTACGAGCATAAAAATAGGCCCTGGTGTGCTGTATGTGGTGTTCTTCTCTGGGTATAGAAATGACCGAATTCAGATCATCAACCTGACTCCATTTTAAATCACAGAGACTTATATACAAGAGATATACAAGAAGAACTCATACCCAGCCTCATTAAAAGAAATTATTTTATGTCAGCTTACCTACAACGTCTGGTTTGATGGAATGAGAGTGAAAGAGCAAAACAGATTTTGTCATCAGAAAAGTCTCAGTTAGAGGAAAGATTTTTGGATGCTCTGTCACAAAGCTGCTTTAGGTTCACTGCATGTGGTAACATGAGCTGAACCACCCCGGATGCCCTGAAGATTTGCATATGCTCTTGGACAGAAAATCATCAGGACATACAAAGCTGACTGTGACTCCTCAGAGTTGAAGGCATATTCCTCTGAAAATTAGATTCTGGAAAGAATGATTCACCTGTTTTTTCACAATGAAGAGACTGACATGGGAGCCTTGTCCGCTCAACTATTTGAAAGCAAAGCTGACATCAGGAGCAGGCCAGTAACCTTTTTAACATAGCATCTTTGTTACATGGAAACACAAGGAAAGAAGAAGGGTGTGATTCTATCTATGAAGGAGATCACCCATAATCTCACTGAGTTTTTGTTGCCTGTGCCAAGGAATGTCAGGCCTATAAAAGCATGAGTAGCTCAGTAGCTTTGCAGAAATGTGGAAGTTCCTGTAGCAGCATCCTCTAGTTCACAGAGAAACTATACGTGGCAGCTGGATCAATCAGGGTCCATCACCCTGACTGGCTTCAGTTAAGCAATTTGTAACTCGGTGCTCTAGGCAGTCCTTACCCACTTAGTTAACACTGCTATGAAGAAAGCTTTTGGTTTGGATTTTCTTCTGCTTCACTGAAAATTTAGAGCTTGGTTGGATATTTTTTAATTAGAAATTTAATTGCTAAGAAGAAAACTTACGCTACAGATCGCTATGACTACTTGAATCTTCCTTTTTTATTCCTTTATTAGTAGGTTTGCTAAAGTGCATTAATGCCTATTTACTTATCCTACCAGTCTATTATCTGGATTTTCAGAAGCCAAACAAGCATCAAGTCAAAGATGGTGTTATAGGGCTCAGTTCTCTGCAAGCAGGGTTGAGATCTGGTTTGCAAGCTCTTGAGCAGTTCAACCTCAAACCAATATCATGCCTTAGGGTTGTGCAGCTGGTCATGCCTGAGAGGTAATGTTTTTTTGTAAACATGGTGTCTGTATCCCCCATAGGTACTTCTGTCTCTTTGCATTTTGATCTGTTTGAGCTCTGTGTTGCCTTGCAGTCTGAACAGCAAAATGACTGACTGTTCCCATCAGCCTGTCACTCGGCTCCAGCTGTTCCCTTAAGCTGCAGTGAACTGTTGAGCAAGATTGTCCAGCATAGTCAGTGTTTTCATTTATTCCTTTATTCATTTCACACTATACACAGCAACACCTGAGGAAGGCAGCAAGAGGAGCTTATTTTAGGGTTAAGGGAGAAATTTGGGAGAAGACAAAGCAGTAAAATCTGATGGGTTTACCCATGATTCATACTCTTGTCACAGGATTCCTTTTTGTTAGCCTTTTTGTTACCGAGCTGTAAGCACTTGCAGTCATTTATTCCCCAATTCTTTCCATTGTAAGACTTTGCCCTCTACTCATTAGAACAGAGCTGAAAGTTAGCCATGTAGCTTGTTTTATATCCTCAGCAGTCATTGCCCTCAGAGTAGTTTAGAGTGTTCAGCTGCCCAAAGGAAGCAATGTTTTCATCAGAGAGACTTCAGGAAAGAACATTTGTCCACAGTAACCCCCTTTGGTGATATTTGTATGGTTCTGTCTGCAGGGCTAGGTATTTGAAAACCTTGCAAAGGATGGCTTTTATAAGGGCACATTTTGCTCTTTCTAGAAAGTAAGCAGTTCTGTACAGATGATAATTTTAGCTACCAAAAATATCTCAGTATACTATCAGCCTTTTCTTCAGATTCATGTGCCATGAGTGGGGCTACACTCACTGATTACATTGTGCTACAAATTACAGGAATGCTGTAGCACCTGGAGGACCCACTCTATAAATTATTTACTTCAGCTGGAATTAGAATGAAAGGCAGGTAGCCTTGATTCTCTTCTCCTCTGCTAAACTCTCCAGCTTCTCTTCTCTTAGAGACACCAAGATGGCAGTTTTGGAGGAGGAAAACTGAAGAGATTGAGCTTCTAGCAGTAGATCGAGTTGTATGAAACAAGTTAACTAGTAAGAGAGAAGCTGGCATACCCTGGAAACTGCAACAAGCTGGCTTAGGGGCCTGTTTGAAGCTGAAGGGGTAAGGAGGCTCATAGTTGATAAAAGTAACAGGGACATAAGGAAGAAACTGTGACCAAATTGATAACGGAGAAGGGAGAGTGTGGTGAAACAACGGTATCCAGCCTTATTTCCAGGCTGGATATGTAAGTTAAGCTTTGTGATTTCTCTGTAGTCAGTAAACATCTGAAAACCCACTAGCAAATTGCCTATTCTCTTATAATGTTGATCCTCATAATAAATGACAGCATATTAGTGCTGTCAGCTATTCCATTAGCATAAGTGTCAGAAATCTCTGTAATGGATCACAGATGCTCACAGCTGTTGATTAACCAGATAGCGGTTCATGTGCCACATGATAGAATTTCTTTGTCTTTAATAGGCTCTTTCAAAATCCAGGCACTATCACAAAAAAGACAACCGATTTCAAACAGTGCTGGTGAGGCTCAAAGTCAGACAAAGAAAATTGGGAATGTGTTAGAATTAAGGCTGCTTTTGGAATTTCCCCTGGCAGCTTGGCTCTGTCTTTTGATGTTGTTTTTAACCTTTAGAGTGCATTCTCCTTCCTAACACCTTGGCTCTGACTGGCCTTGGCCTTCTTTTCCCAACCTGACTTCTCTATCCTTCCCTGTGCTGCATGCTAGAAACAAAGTAGCTGGGAAGACTTCTTTCCTTTAAGCTTATCCTGCTTAGGGCCTCTTTTGAAAAGGATTCGAGGAGGTGTAGGACTCTAGCAACTCATGCTGATGTAAAGGCTGCCTGCAAATGTCATCTTCCCCTGCAGCAGATCTGTATCTGGAAATCTTCCTGCTAGAATAGATAGCAGAGGCTGCTGAGAAGGGCACCCATGCATGATTCTCTATGCTGCGTGTTGTGCTAACTTTAGGCAGTAAGGAGTGGGTGTGCTTTAATTTTGGGCACCACCCAACGACCTCCTTAAGCCCACAGCTGCCTAACAGAAGGGAGGGAGCTTCAGCACAGAAATGTGCACCTTAGTCTCTGTTTGTTACACAAAGGTGTGAGCTCCAGGAAGGCCCTCTCCCTCCAAGCGCTTGGTGCCCCATTGCTAACCTCAAGCCCATTGCCCAAACCAACAGCTAGGAAGCTCCAGGTGCCATAATATGGGATGGTGTGAGGATGCATTATCAGCATGGAGGACTGGTTTATCTATCTTGTGTGATACCTACAGAAGCTTTCCCAACACTTATACATGGGAAGGAAAAAAAAGCAGGGCACAGAGAGCTAAGTTACCAGTTAATCCCTACTGGGATAGTAAGGGGACTATTTTAAGTGCAGCAAGAGCTAAACCCCCAGCCATTCTCAGCACAGAAGCCTTAATTCCAGCATTATAACAATGTTGTATTCCACCTGACAGCACAGCACAGGCAACGTGACATACAGTCAAGGACTATAGTACATCGAAAGTAACTACACTTCACCCAGAATGCTCTTCTCCTGGGTAAAAATAAGCTGTATGCAGTTGTACTGTAGAAATATTTTCTGCATTCTCTGATACATGGATGGACTAGTTTAGATTAAGGATCTGTTTGGTTTGGATGTGCAGTTAAATATTTTTGTAATATTTAAGAACAGAAAGATACATTTTCATTATTATTAGTTTTCCTTGACACAAAGAAAGCTAATCATCAGTATTACACTGAGATGTTATTTTTCTTCAATGTGTAGCTGATACAAAGCTGGAGAAGTGCATGACAGTGTACTGCAACAACAGCAAAAAGCAATCATGAAAAATGGAAAAAGTCCCCTTGTTGTCAGTGGTTCAGAGCTTTACCTGTAAGGGGGCAATTCTAGATCGTGCCATCTGCTTCGTTAGCCCGTTCATCTCCTCACTGTGCTATTAAGGTTCAACTTTCTTAACAAAGCTGAGGAGATCAGAATATGCCAATCAAATACAGCGTGGTTTGAACAGTCTCTGGTGTAAGTGGCTTATGTAGTTCATTGTAGACTGTTGCAGGGAAACTGCTGATAGAGACAAAACATACAGGATGTGATTTCAAAGGCCTTGGAGCTGTAGGATGAGAAATCTTTAGCAGGAGTCCTTTTACTTAGACAAAGTAAAAAAAAATATCTTATGTAGGATATAAGGAGGCTTGAATTCAAATTTGTGAAATGATGAAAGGGACCAACAAAGCAGCATTTTGGACAGCTCAGCACAGACTATCCCTCCCCGTGTAACCACTGCTAGGGGATATTTAATTTATGCAGTCTTTAGTCAAACTTTTTTCACTTTATTTAGACATAGAGTTGAAATCAGTCTCCATGGGCCCTGCACTGAAAGTACAGTGCACAGTGTTCTGTTCGGAACCCAATCTGAAAACTGATGAACTGCAAACCTCATTAAACGCGGGCTCTCTGTTGCAGGAGGGAACCACATGTCCTGGCACACATCCACACTGCCAGGGGCCTGGAGGAAAG